TTTATTGGCGACTGGCAGCATCAGTAGTATCATGCCTTGTGTTAATGCCGAAGAAGCTACTTGAATATGTCTAGTATGTGTGCGGATATCTTAACAGATGGAACCTTATCAAAACTTGCATGCGATCTGACGTGATTGTTTGCTTTCTTGTCTATATTATCGTTTGCTAATTATATATAATTCGTGATTGCTGGGAGAATCAATGAAACTTTCTTTTTTCTCAAATCCTTGCGTCATGCAGCCTCAGATCTATTTCTCCAGACCCTCGACACGACAATTGAATGTGTTGCTGCTGCTCGTTCAATGCCTCAACATCAACCTGCTACGTCCCCAGAACCGTCCATTGTGAGTAACTTGCTGTCTTAATAGTACTGTAAGATAGAAGTCTCCTTCAGAAATTTCTTAATTTTAGAGTGAAAATTACGACGATTTCTGTCGATCTTTGAAAAAGAATGCAAACCTCTATAGCAGTCCTGCTAAAATGGTTGCTAAAGATGTATCGAAAGTATGCTCAGATGTTAATGGCTCGCTTGATACTTCCGCTCAGGAAATGCCAAGGCTCTCGGATGAGCGGCATATGTTTGACGATGTAACACCTAGAGCGGCAACTCTGAGTAAGTCAAATCAGCGGTTGAGTGAGAGATTGGAGCAGCCTTCAAGAAGGGTTTCGGAAGAAGTACCAACAAATATTGATTCTGATGTCCAAAAACCTTCGATGGAACCTACCGATTCGAGCCTTTCTTTTGCTGAAAAACTCAGAGCTCGCTCAGAAGCCACTCGAAGACTAAACTTCACACTTCTTTCTGATAAGGTATCCCAGTTTTTCCTTTATTGTTCATACTCAATGGAAGTATGTATCTTTCAGACCGTTGAAGTGGGATCCAATAATTCTGAAAATGTCGGAGCTGGTGTTGAGACTGCTCCTTTGGATAGCTATATGGCTCTGTTCGTGAAAACAGCAAAGGAACAAGGAGAAACAAGCATAAGTGCCGTTGTACGTTTCACTTATAGTTTTATTCCTTCCATATCTTCTTTTAATTTGTTTTTGAACTCTCTTTCTGTTTAGACTTTATTGCAGCCTTTGGAATAAAGAGACATTATTTTTAGGAACCAAGAGCAGTGGAAGCAGGAGCTAGCGATGATTTACCATTTCAAGTTGAGGACGTACAAGTGGATAAGCCTGGAGTTTCTGACGATGAGATAGACTGGTAGTTGTTGTAACTGCATACGAAAGTTTCGTTGACAACTATCTGTAATTTTTTCAGTCCAAGATTCAATTTTTCAAGTCTTACTTTGTTCCCATCAATACAGTAGTCTTTTGTTACTCTTACTTTTGCTAAGCTTTCTAAATTCCATAGTTAATATTATTCCAATCTTATGATCCCTGATGAGCTAGTCATATCAACATATGCCGTTGCATTTTCGTTGTGTTTATTCATTTTGGCTCACAATTTTCACTTGATCTGTGTCTGGTAGATCTCGTTCAGTCTAATCTCACTATAGGACTGATCTCATGAACTTATATGCAGTTAAACAGGTCTTTTTTGTAAAATGAACGTTTATTGAAATTCTTCCAACTGATGCCTACTGTTTAACGCAGCTATGATGTATCGATTCACAACATGTTTTTTTTTTCATTCCAAACGATAATAACTTTACATGTTTGCGTGTGAGTGTAATTGTGGTTCCGTAAGTCTCCTGCTTTGCCGTTCCCTTTGGTTTTGCTTACCAGACAACATGTCATTATGTGCGTGCACAAAGGCACATTCATTTCAGTAGAAAATGCTATTAAGCTCAGCGGCAACACGTCGCTGCTGAAACGATGCATCATCGTTGATTTGATAATATTGAGTTGGCATCTCCTGTTAGCTTTTGAGCAAATATAATATTTGCAATTTGGTGTCTTTATTGCCTTTTGTGATTCCTTGAGCATATTTAGGGTTACTGTTTGATATGACACTTGTCTAATCGCTCTAAATCTTGGCTTGCTTTTTAAAAAGCCATTTAGGGATATGTGCTCCTTTTCTCCAACCGGCGATAAAGATCGTCCTGCCTATTTGCATGTCTCTTGTTTAGCGAGCTGAAAGTTGGAAGTTGAAAATTTAGTGCATTTATGCAGTGCACAGAATAACCCATTTTTCATAAGAACCATTGCAATTTTCTTCCGATGTTAGAAAGCAGCAAATGGATTGTGAATAATGTATCAGGGGAAATTTTGGAACACCTACAGACAATTTAGCTGGACATTCATCTCAATTTAATTTAGAATGGTTGAGATATGATTTCTTGTTCAAGAATTTGAGAACTTTCAGCGCTTCTTCCATTCTGGGTGTCATTGATTTTAGCAAAATGCCCTACTTCAATCTTCTTCCTAATCTTTCCATGCATCGTCTTTTCAATGAATATTAAAAAATTTGGATTTCAGTAACCCCTTCATTACAGGTTCAGTAGATGTAGGAAACAGTCAGTATAAACATTTATCATCAATGTCTTACTCCCCACAGGGGAAGATGCGACAAATGCGTCGGCTTCGTGTATTTATACTAGTTGTGATTGCATTGCTGTCGCTTTATTGGTTTTTCTACGGTGAGTCCAATGTTTGAAAATTTGTTGATTACACGTTGTAATAACAAGGTTTGTCTGCTGCAGGCGGGCTCTCTGTGTAGGACAAGGTCATATCTCATGATAAATTAATTTTCTCGGTTTTTTCTCACTTCGCTTTTCTTTCCTTTCCGTAGTATTTGAAAGTCAGCAGCCATTTGTTAACTATATTCTGCGGTGCGGAAATAAGAGATTAGACGAAGGAAGGTGTGGCCGAATAGAATGACAAAAATGTTTAGTTAAAAGTAAGCTGTAGAAGTAAATTTGCTGTTTCGAGTGTAAAGACAGAATGAGTTTTTTTAAGTGAAGAAAGTGTAAAGACAGAATGAGTTTTTTTTTTAAAGTGAAGAACCATTGATTTCCAATTGACATTTACTCCGCCTAAGCGAAAACTTGCTTTTCTTTTTGCTCTTCTTTTCGCTGGGCTTGCCTCACTTTCCTCAATTCTGTACATTGACCTAGGAACTCTAGCCAAAAGGCGCATGGGGAGAACATGCAGGACTTTTCTGATCATCATGATCATCATTTCTCCATTTATTCTTCATATTTTCGTAGATGGGCTGGCGGAAGGAGGTAAATCTTTCTCATTAGCGATACTCAAAAAAGCTTCTTAGAAGCTCTACAGGCCTAGATATTGAGATAATCAAAAATTTTTTCGTGGCTAAAACCTAAATTTCACTTTTCTGTCTCGTTTAGGTGATGAGCTTGGTTTAATCAATAAGCCGTCGCTGCTTACGTCTGGAATCCCTTCAGAATGGATAGAAATGTGCGAATTTCTGGAAAGGGAGTGGCAGGGAAGTGAAGGTCAGATTGACGACATCGGATACCGGTTACGAGGCATTGCCATAGGATTCAGACATGGAGAGAGGTGGGTGATGTCCTCTTTCACTGTTGTTTTATCTTCTATTCGATTACTTTGATATGTTATTTCACATTTTCCATTCTGTTTATCCTCGCAATTCATCTGTAACTAACCTGTAATTACGCTGTACGATTCTATAATCTGATAGTCTTTCAGATCGCCTTTAAGAATTACTGACGGCGTAGTGGAATGCTTGCCTTATCGAGAAGAAGATCGCAAAGGTTTCAAGCAGTACAGTGAATTGGTTGGGAGCGATAATTTCCAGTTTTTCTTACGTTATGACAACAAATTCAAGAACTTCTCCACCATTCCGTCTTTGTAAGAAGAGTAATTCAAATTTGTTAGCCATAACGTCTTCTCTATCATGTTCAGCTCTGTGTGCTCGCCTGGGCAATTGACAGCAGAAGGAGCACTTCAACACGTAAAACTTGGGAATTATATGAGGAACAAATATATAGGAACTAATATTTTTGCGCCAGGTTAGAATAATTTGGACATGAAGTTTTACTGTGAAAGTCATGCATTCAGAATCTCGTTTGAATGTGTCTGTGACGTCTTCTCAGTTCAATCGCACTTTCCAGTCTGCCATCGCATTTACCTCTTCTTTTCTTTTTCCTAGTAAAGTGTCCATTCCACAAATATTTATTCAGGTAAAATTTCTTTTTTCTTAAATTCCACAAATATTGTTCAATTGGATATTTTCTTTTGTTGTAAGCAGATTTTGAACTCAAATTTAATGGTTTTTGCTATGAAGAAATTTGTTTACTTGTTGCAGGCGTCCAACTTCACTTTTATGTGCACAAGTAAGAACTGTCGGTGTAATTCCGCAGTGCGCTGGAGGCTTCAGTATGAACAGGTTAGCTCTTCCTTTCCTCTGTCTCTATCATTTCATCTTTTCATATGTTTTTTGAGGAACATGCTCAGTATTTCTTGAAAAGATCACCGGAACATCTACGGATCTTTGCTGCAGCTCTAAAAACGCACCCTAATTTTAACAAAACAATCGATCCCTTCCAAATGATAGATGTGGCATTGGGAAGGTAGTTTCCTTATTCTATTTGTGTATTGTTTATTGACTAGAAGCAAATTCTTATAGTTTTCCATCTTTCTTCTTCTTAAACCTCTTAGTTTTACAAATATTGGCTAGAATGGAAATCGGCCCATCAGATCTGACTGAATCACTAATCTTTCTATATCATTAAGACAAGCACATATGTTTTCTACCTGATAATGAGTTAAATTTTCTCCTCATCCTCTTAAGACCTTTTAGTATCCTTAAACGTCTAATGTCATATTTTGCTTTACTCTGGTCACAAGAGAAAATGGGCATTTCTTTACTATTGCCAGGTACATTTGTCGTCGTCGAACCTTACCTTGTTTTGGCAAGAACAGCTGCTTGAATTACGTCTTTCTGAGCGAGGTACGTACTATCGTGTTAATTCCTCTTTTCCACTAATCCTTCTATTTAATTTCAGCTTCTCAAGGAAACGTCGTCACGTGGAAAAGTGATGTTCGATGAACATACACGCTACGTATCACAAAAATTACAACTCGTTGAAGCTTATGGTGTTTTATATCATGTTGTTGAGGCAGTGACGAAATTAAGAAGATTTGCGCATACCAATGTTATACAGGTTAACATTTATCTTCTTTTTTGGTTTTTTCCTTGTTAATCCCAAAGTTACAAGTTCCGAATTATACCTACTTTTACCAACCAAAGTGGTTGATCAGAATTGTTAACTATAGCATGGCCTTGCGCTTTATATATGCTATGGGGCACCCTAACCTTCTGCTTATCCCCTTTTTAATTGAAAACTATTAAATGTCCGAATTCAATCATCAACAATTATCTTTGAAGGAGCATGGAACTTATTTTATCTTACTACTATGTCCTATGTTCTGATTTAGCAGTATTATAATTGATTCCATCTATATTGTTACGGTTCTGGAGAATGGGACAGTTGAATATTTTTGTGGCGGCTTTTTCAAAGTTTTCTAAATAGATTTTCTCCGGCCATGATGTCATGTTGGCTCCTCTACTACGTGTCATGGGCGTCCCTTTCGTTGATCCTCCTCATTATGCGTCACGTATCGTCGTGGAGGTTAGTTTATGCAAAACCTCCCTTTGCTCATATACGATTTCTGTTCTCTTCTCTTCGTTAAACAATTTTGTTTAGTTCTATGAGGTCATAGAAAGTTCATCCGCTAAGGACTCCATTTTTCTCCGTTTTATTTACAATGGTGTGGACATTACCAGAAAAGTGACATTTTGTGGAACTAACGTTATGGAGAATGGCCTCTGTTCAGCTCAGCAGTTGGAGGAATTTGTCCAGAAACGCATATTTTCCCTATTGGGTGTTAGTTCCTTGAAAGATATTTGTGATAATACCACTCATTAGGTCTTTACTAGGCAACGAGTCAGAATTTAAACAGTTCGTTTGAAAACGCCAGACTTATGGTTTTTTCTTTTTGTATTGAACAGGGTTGTTCGTAGTTTTTATAATCGCAAACGTGTTTTTTTCACTGGTTGGATTGTGATATCTTTGATTAATGACTCTTTAGTGTTGTATCATATTGTAAATTTTGGATGAAGAAATAAATAAGTGCTTAGTTTTTTATCTGAGGCTTACTTCGGTTTCTACCGATAACTACAAAATATTTCTTTGAAACCGTAACAAAAGTGTTGCGATTTTGAGCTTCAACAAATTCTCTGGTTTTCTCTCAGAGTTTGAATTTACAGTGCCATATTTTATCCAGAATGGAGTAATAAGGGGCAGCAGGTTTGTACGTCATGAATCGTCGACCTAGCAAGCTCCAAGGAATAGTGCAAAATGGACAGAATGGATGCATTGTTTTAGAGTCGCCCAACAATACACTATCGGAGCAAGGTATGTACTGCTTGAAAAACCTTCTAGCAACTGTCGCTGCGATATGCTAGGGTTTAGGACGTCTTGTTATGCGACTCCTCTAACCCTAGTAAGGTTGGCAGTGATATCATAACTTTTGTAGAACTTGTCCGTATCAGCCACAACTTGCACTTATCATGCCCTTCATCAGTAAAGGAAATGAAAGCAGAGTATGATTGTCGTATTCTAGACTCCACATTATCATCACTGGAAGAACCATGTTGTTCTTCGCCTAGATCAAGCTTATCGGATTTTGATGAAGTACCTCATCCCACAAGCAGCATACCCTGCGAAGATGAGATCTCAGAGAGCTGGCTGAGAAATAAGCTGAGAAGGTGGTGAAATACCCTTTCACTTTTAATTTGCTGTGTACTTTGAAATTTGTATCTTCCATTATTTCTTACTGCTGAACACATTTTTTTT